TATAGAACTTAAAAACTCACAAATTAGTTAAGAGGGTTCGTGGAGAAGTAAGTCAGCGAATTCAACTAATGGGACGCAGGTTGCTTTTGCTTTAAAGCGGGCCGTACCGAAGCGAACCGATATCACTGAGCGTTAAGCGCGCGAGCAAAATGACGGAGTGGTAAAATGGTTAATGCGATCCGAATGCGCGAATTAAGATCTCTGCAAATATTATGGTTTTATTGCTGCCATTCAGCTTTAATGTATCCAGGCTTTCGTTGTCATAGTTTATCTGATTTTTGGATTAGTTGCAGTTGTAATGAATTATAATACACTTTAGCGTTGCCACCTACTTGGTTAATAACTGCGACCACCTCTTGGAAAGACACCACATTGACAATAGAAATGTCCATTCGATTGTAGAGACCTGAATTTAGTACATCAAATGTTACGTGGCTTCGAAAGATGTGCTTTCAAGAACTTTGTAGCTACATCGAATCACTTCGTCTTCTGGAATGTGTAAGATTACAGTTTTTTTATCTCACGCCGATTTCACGTATTGATCAGAAATAATGATAAGTCCATTCAAACACCCATTCCCATTCTACGGGTTTCTAGCGCATCTTAATGAGTCTTGCCTGTTCATATAACCAACGGAACTGTAACCTTACTGCTAAAGTTTGGTCTACTTCTTGATTACCAAAAAAAAGCTATATCATCAGCTTCTACTCAATGACATACATAGCTAGTCTACCGAAAACTCAAGCGTCTTCTAATTATTTGGAGTAATTGAGTTTCACTATGTTCATTTATGAGATATTATGGAATTTAATCTCTATGGTGGCACGGTCCACAAAAAGGAAAATGAGTTCTATAAGATTGCAGTCAATTAGAGAAACAAAGATCAAACTATTATATTTAATTACTATTATATTTAATCAATCTAACAAAAACAATGTTCATGAGGAACGGATGGGTTTCTAATGCCCCATTCACGCTCAACGGAACGACAATCTCCGAATGCTCCAGTTACCTCTATCTAGGTCGTGAAATCAACATGATGAACGACCTAGCTCCAGAGTTAAGCAGGAGGAAACGAGCGGCTTGGGGAACGTTTAAGAGCATCGAAGATGTAGTGAAGAGGACAAAGAACATCCGACTCCGTGCCCACCTTTTCGACTCGACAATTATCCCTGCCCTGACGTATGCAGCCGAAACCTGGTAGCTACGTAAGCAGGATAAAAGATCACTTGCCGTTATCGAACGCGCAGTCGAAAGGTCAGTGCCCGTACCACGCAAATGAGAGGAAGGATCCGAAGTTCCGAACTACGTCAACGATCAAAAATCAGAGACGCCGTTCTACACGCCAGGATATCGAAAAAAGGTGGGCCGGACACGTGATGCGCTTCAACGACAACCGATGGACGAGAGCCGTTACCGACTGGATTCCTCGGGACGTCAAGCGCTCTAAAGGAAGACCACTGACCCGTTGGTCCGATTTCTTCACGAAAGCGATAGAAGAAAGATATGATGCTCAGCGAATCCCTAGAGCGAGGAGGACCCACTGGGCTACTGTTGCACGCGATAGGGAAAAATGGAAGCGTTGCTGGTACCCGCTCGAGTCACTCGACGATCAACGGGACGACAGGTGACAGGTGACAGGTGATATTTAATTACCGCCCACGGATCGCAAATCATTTGCTACTATATTTTTGAAAACCAAATCCCTCTAGACATAGGTAGCCCTCTAGGTACGGTTCGTCGTATCCTGAGAAATAAATTGGGCCATCTAATAGCCAATTCCTTAGCGCAGTCGTTCCGTGCTGGGCCAGATTATACCTGATTGTACGAATATTCGCGCTAACGGTAAGGTAAGGGACATTAACTGAATCCAAAGTATGTTGCGTTTGGCGAAGACATTGAACTGAAACGTATACCTAACTAGCGGTTACTACATGAAAATATACATCGGTAAAGCGGACTTGTTCTAAGTACAACAGAAAATAATCAGACTAAAGGTCTTCAATAATATCCAGTAAAAATGCCAAATAACAATATTTTTCTGTTGAGTAGATGTAATTGCAGTGATTACTATTAGTGATCTAGCTATTTGGCGACGTTACATATGCCATATTTCTGACAAAAATATGAAGTGTGTTTCACTCGAAGGAAGTATTCGATAAAAGTGATTGAACTAACTGTTTAATCGCTTGATGATATCGTCCAATTGTTCATTTGTTAGAACTAGCGTGGACATCAGGATGGGATTGCTGAGTGGAAGAGAAGATGACCGAAATGAAGAAGCACACCGATTCTGTCGTTTTTATAGTATTGAAATAACCAGCTTCGTGTTATATTCATCAAAGATAAGATCTTTATGTGTATCGAAATCAAATGTTCAGATATGTGATATATGTAAACATGAACGGTAGTAGTTGAAAATCAATTGTAGCGATAAATGCAGCTTGTGATGATGCTCGTTAATATGATATAGCAAACATGAATTATGTTTATTTACGCAGATTTTTCCTTCATTTTATCTCTCATATAGCAGTGTTAGAATATGATATTAGGTGCACAAATATGACTCCGCCGTTCAATTATTTCTTGCTGCAATGATAGTAAAGGTAAAGAAATGCAAACTCCTTTTTTCCACTAAAAATGGCGCAAAATATGTTATGATCTTTTTGCTCAAATGTGCGTTAGAAAGCTATTCATATGTCTTCAGTACTTTATCATTTATAATTTTATCATTTTAATATTTTATATCGTGGCTTTTGTAGGAATTTGAAGATGACGACTTTTGTAACCGAAAAACGCTATCTACAGGAAGCTTAACTTTTAATGTTGAATTAATGAAATCCGCCGTCGACGAAAAGAAAGGCTTTTTTTGCATCATAGTCTCGGAAGACAAAAAGTGGATTTGTTTTGACGATTCAAAGTGCAAACTGTCACCCGACTCCGGGCAACCAGCAAAATGGACTGCAAAAAGAAATTTGCAAGGAAAGATTATTAGGTGAGCATTTGGTGGGACCACAAAGGTTTCCTCTACTACGATCTAGTGAAATCTGGTGAATCGCAGTTAATGTAGCAATTTATCAGCAATAATTAACCAAATGGGGGCGCCGTGGTCGGGTGGTTGTGATGTTGGTCACGGGGCGCGTGGAGTCGAACTCCACCTCCCTCTCCCCCCCCCCCCCCACTTCTCTCCGGCAGTCAACTGCAACGTCCTATGGAACGCCACAGCAAGGCGATCCTCGAAGTGGCAAGAAGATTCGCTCAACCAGTATTCTACGCAGTTCAAGAAGAAGACGAAAAACGAATTGAATGCTAGAAGTACTGGGATCCGCACAGTGAAAAAAGCAGCGTGGTGACGGATCAAATAAAGTGCCAAAGTAATTAACCTAATTAAACCATGGATTGCTAATAAAACGACCAGAATGGGCCGTAAGACACGACATGGTGATTTTACTGCATGATAATGACTGACCTCATGTTGCAAAACTGATCAAAACGTCATAAAAGAGTTGAGGTGAGAAGTTTTAAGAGGATTAACCTTATCCGCCTTACTCTCGTGAGATTGCACTATCAGATCACCACTTAGAATTATCAAATTATATTACTTAGCAAATTTAGCACTTTCTTTAACCCGTTATTACAGTGTTTTTTTCACTATGCGGATCCCAGTACTTCCGGCATTCAATTGTCTTTTCGTCGTCTTCTTAAGCGGCGTACAATACTGCTTGAACAAATCTCCCTGCAATCTCGAGGATAGCTTGGCTGTGGCGCTCCATAGGAGGGTGCTATTGACTGTCGGAGAGAGTTGGGAGATGGAGGTCGGTTCCACGCGCGCTGCGACGAGCATCACAACCACTCGGCCACCGCCCCCAATTCAAATTGCACATTAGTGAGTTGGAAAAAAATTCGATCAAAGTTTACTAATCTTGCATACCAAATTATTTCTTCCATGGCATTCACAAACAACCCAGAAATAGAAAAGTGTTTTGTTAATGATGTAAATTATATTCAAATATACTTTGGTACAAAAATCTTTCTGTATGATTGGGTATCTAGACCGTAAAAGAGGAGTAGCCATGTTTGTGAGCCTAAATAATTACCTATTCCATAATGATGAGTGATGTACAAAGCTTGGAATCTTAGGCAAAGATTGAGCTTGCGAATCACTCACGCTGGAAGCATACACCATCGAGGCCACCGCTTAACGAAGACTGGTAGCAGAGCGGTGTGTTTGGAGGTGTAGTAGTATCAAGCAGTCTAATATAGATGAGACGCGGGTTCAATTCTAACCTGAGGCCCGAAGTTTTGCGCACCTCATCATCCTTGAAGAGGCTTATTTATATGAAATAGTAGCCATATTTGAAGAACGTCAGAAAACTACATCTCTTACTGTGTGATTAGAGGTGTTCCGCAATACACACGTAGTACTTGTTTGACCATGCACCATGGCTTAAAAAGATATTTTTCATGGTCTGAATCCATCTGAGCAAGACGTGAAACATGAGCACCCATTGTGAGTAAAGTGCGAGCTTAGAGACTTATACGAATCAGCCGATTTGAGATCGATAATAGTAGCAGTAGAAATTCGATAGCTGACATTTAGGCGGTTTTCGCTTTCATCAGATTGGACGTACTTTGTCCTAGACTATTCGGAAGAAATGTTAGCCGTCGAACAGCTGCTACCATTATTGCTAATGCTGCTACCACTGTTGCAAAACTCGCGCTGGCTCGCCATAAGTCTTTGAGTTAACATAATTATCGATATCGAGGTTGATAGAAAGGTGGTCTTTTGAATAATTGCAAAGTACGAGGTGTTAGCTCACGCTTCTAGAGGCTACTTAGTATCGTGCACAGCTTTCCCACTACAGCATTTACTACTTCAATAAATATTCAAAATAATAAAACATATGAGTACCACATCTGTTCATCATTGAGCCAGCATTGAAGACTCTCTTGACGTTTAATATTCATTCACCTTAGAGAAGTGAATGATGAGCAATAACGGCCTCAGGCGGGAATCAAACCCGTGTTTCATCCTTACCGCAGACGCGTGCTACTACCACTACACCACCGAGGCGCATTTGCTCCACCACTCATTCTTCAACAACTCTATGTTAGCTATCATCCACCAACCTTTAACAGGTTTGATCGGGTATGCGATTTTGCTTCATAAATCCAGTTGAACTGACAGCCATTGTAATAACTAATACGATTCCCGCTTGACGCCGTTTTTATCTCACCACTCAATTCTTTTACGTATATATGAAACATAATAGCACTACGAAAAATGCACTAAAAACACTAGATTTCCAGTATCAGTTATTACAATGGCTGTCAGCTCAACTGGGTTTATGCAGCGATTGCATGCCCAGCCAAACCCTGTTAAAGGTTTTTGGCTTATAGCAATAAAGATGTTGAAGAATGAGTGGTGGCGCAAATGTGCCTTGGTGGTGTAGTGGTAGTAGCACGCGTGCCCGGTTAGGATGAAACGCGGGTTTGATTTCCGGCTGAGGCCGTTATTTGCTCACCACTCAATTCTCTTAGGTATATGTGAAACATATTAACAATGCGAAAGATGCAGTAAAAATACTAGGAATTTAGAGTATTCATTTACCTCTCCGATAATCTTTAGAAATTTCCATCCTTGTAGTCTTTACAGCTTATCATATCTATTTACTCATCTGATCGTATCTCTACTATCTTGATCCATTCATCTTCCTTGTTTCATCCATGTCATAGGACGTAAAATGAAGTGCTATTTTTGATAAGCTTTGATACCACATGTTCATGCAGTTAGCCAAATTTTTATGACGTAGAATCGGTTATACATGAAATTTTCCATTTTCATTCAAGAGTAAGCAGTTATGAACATGCGCTCTTCGTCTTTACTCCTTCTTTTGAACGTCATTGTACCGTGTTTTTTACTTGAAAGCTCTACGGATGTATCACTTTTTTTCAACGACGCCTTGATCAATCGTCTCCAAAGGTCATTCACATACTGAGTGCTATTTTCAAGTGTTTATGTTCTTCAGCTTACCTCTTTTTTGAGTATTTGATCAAAACATAGCATAGTACGTATTATGAATGGATCATAGTGGATTCTATATTTTATTATACTTGTATTGTTGTGTGCTGACATAGTCAAATAGATATTCGGAATAGAAAATCGCATGCTTATTTGAGTGTTCCGGTTTACCGCTTTATTTCATATACCGATAATCTCGTCAAGCAAGAACGATGTTTCAAATGTAAAGCAATGAAGAACAAAAAATAGGAGTAAAAGAGGAAAATGAAAATCAAACAAAAAGAGAAGGTAGTGATTATACAAAAGCTAGGTGATTTTATAATCTTCTCGATGCTACAAGGACTTTCGTTACTCAATGCTTCTTCTCAATTTTATGTATAAACATATGTTACGTATCTGCAACAAAAATTTCCAATTTTCATAGTAAAAATAACTTTTTGCGAACTCATAGCTACTATACTCACATTTCGTGAATTTTAGTGATTATGAACAAATGAGCATCAAATCAAAGAAGATCACTCGTCACAGAATTGGAGTGCTAGGAGTTTATTACCGTATCCTGAAGAAATTAGTAGATATGGCTGGTGATGAAGATGGGTCAGTTTTTTTGAATATTGGCTGTTATTTTCTATTCGTGTTCAACAGCAATATCAGGAACCTCAATTTTCATCGTATACTATCCCGTTGATAATCTCTTGTATCATTAGCGCAGCGTGATTGATAAAATCACCAGTGCAGATCTATACCTTGAAGTCTCTTACAGTCTTGCAACAGTCTCGTTTTCAGGGCACTCTAAGCTTCAAGTTTCTGCAGCTAATTTGGAACTTACTTTGTAAATATCTAATATCTCGAATTTACATGGGTGATTACTTAGAAATATCTACAAAAGAAAGACATGTTTAAATTAAGCTGAGATACGTATTCATAGAAAATGCATCATGGAACATAAACCATAAATCGATTGGCACTTCCATTTGTGTTGTTAAAATTATTGTGGAGACTCTAAATAATTGATTCAATAGACTTTCATGACTCTAGCGTGAACGTTATTACATAAGGATTTAACTCTTTGGGAACAGCGTTTTTGTAGACGTTTTTCACAGGCGCTTTTTGCTGATTACAATTTTTCGGCTAGGATCAGGTATTCATTTGAGAATTCGATTTTGATGATGTGCTTGCTTTCTGAAAAGACTCTTTCGATGTGCTATAGAAGCGAAAATTAAATTAAGGTTCACCTTCGGTGCTCGTTTCTCAGCACACTCTGTAAAAAAACTTTTCGATAGTGGTTCGGTATAGCCCAAGTTTCTGCTGGAGCTTAACCAGTTTGTTGAAAGGTTCTAATAGGGCGCTGTCAAAGCGATAAAAAGATTAAGTTTCAAATCCAATGTACTTATCCTCGTTAGAGTTTCATGGTGGGTTTTTCATAACTTCATAGAGGCGATATAAGACTAAAATAAAAGATAGTGTCTTCAGAACAATCGAGCGAGGTCCCCTATATAATCTTAGTACGAGAACCGCAAAACTTTTTCTCGAAACGGAACATTTTTCTGAGTAAAAAACGAAAATCGCGCTCTTTCGAGATGAAAGTTGAAATTGCTGTGTGCAGCTTGATTCGAGAAGCGCTTGATTTGGTTATCTCTCTGAAAAATTTTTCTTTTACTTTCAAATATTTTTGTTGCGCTCAGATTCAAGTGCAAAGCGTAATATTTCTTTGCTCATGACGGCCTTTTCAAAAACTAAATCAGGATTCAGAGTTCACGCTTTCCCAGCTATCGAAGAATATTAAATGTCTTGTGAAAAGCCTTATCTACACTTTAGTCGAGTAAAAAATTTGCGCCGAGGGTGAAACTTGATTTTTCGATAATACAGCGCACTTAAAAGGCCTTTCTAGCAAACAAACACAGAACTGAAATTGTTTAGATGTATACTTTTGAATGACTGCTAAAAGTCAGCGCAAATAGCGAAAGAATCCTGCCCCAAAAGTTTAACCCTGTGCGTACAACCGTTGATAGTAAACGGCACCATGTTGAGTTTTCGCGCAGCAGTCTCAGCAATCAATGTGCTGATGGAACACCTTATCATTACCATGTTGCACTTCCGTAATGAAATGCGGAGTTTTGTAGTCATGAGGGATTCAGAAAATGTTCAGTAAATGGTGGAATGTGGCAGAAGAGATCTTTGCAAAATACGAATTATTTGTCAAAATGATTACACCCATTGCGACTTCGACGAAAATTCTCAATATTTTTTCAATTGTTAGTACACTACAAGTTGAAACCTTTGCAGAATTAGGTTTTCTACATATGTCTTCAAGACAATTTTCTGTACTTCGGCCAGTTTCAATCTCCATAAACGACTTTATTGAGACTTTCGCAGCAGGTAGTCCCTCAAAGACAAGGGGTTGAATTATAACCCACTCTTTTTTCTCAATTATTGCAGCACACTACGAACGCCTTCCGATAAATCAAGCCGAGTCGAGTACTGGAATCTCCATCAATTGAACTATCGAAAGATTACTAATAGTCCAATGAAAAAGCTGTATTCGGTAGAAATGACTGCGAAATACAAGTACATCCCAGAGATTGAGACTGAATTCCACACCAAATTTTAAGACAACTGGGCGTTGACTTTACAAGAAAAAAGCCGCTCTAGAAGACTCTTCAGTAGATTCTATATTTTCGTGGCAATGAAGTGAGCCCAAAATCAAAACTGCGTTCTAAATATACCAATAAATTCGCGCTGAGGCTCAAAAAACAATGGGCAGCTAATCAAAATGCATAAAGTAATCCGAGTCGCTCGATCTATTGAATGCCCAACATATACATAAGTGAAATAAGGAAAGAAACAGTGGAGATATGCTTTTTCTGGAACGAAATGGTTTTCTCATTCAAACATGAGAAATTTTACCACAGATAGACGTCCTTCTCATAAATCCCGTACAGAAGTTTTTCCAGTGATATTCAATCATTTAATAATGATGATACCTTTTAAAACTTAAATTTCCCAAATAAATATGTCATTTCTAATGCGGCCTACGTCAACACAGAGTCACCCCGAGACGTCGACCTTGCGTAACGTGGTACAAACCGTACCAAACGGTGCCCCAGGGGGGTCAATAATGAACGATAACTATTGTGATGTCTGTAATTATTACCATGAACACACGTCCCTTAGGTTTATAAGCGAAAAATTCGTGTATAAAAACTTCTGTTATACAGTGTTATCACTAGTTTTGGATAGGTGTTGTACGTAGAAAGGAATTTTTGAGACACTGGAAAATGTGGTACTGCTCATAGACTGTTGTTATCTGTTCTGTTCAGATATCTCTATCTTTTCCCTGAGCCGACACCTCGTTTAGATGTACAACTCAGCAAAACATGTGAAACTGGTTTACAGGTGGTTTTATGTTCAGTTCTTTTTAGCACTTTGAGAATTCACAGTTACAGGTACAGTAGCGGGGGCTATAGTTTCATTACTATCTTTCATTCAAATTCAACATGGGCAATTTATGCCTTGGATTATTGATTAGCTTTTTTTGAGCTTACTACAAATTATGAACATGAATAAGGTTTCTGTGCTATCGGCTTCATCAAAACCATCATGATCGAAGTCATACTAAGGAATTCCTTTTGCGCAAGAGATCGGTCGCCGCATTAGCATAAACTTCCTCGACGATCAGATTTGTTTACTGCCTCGTGAAACTCATCAGTAACATAGGGCGAAAGACTTCAGGATTACGATAGCTTTTTTGAAAAAATCAGTTTCCATAGCAGTTTTAACACTCGAGTATTACTTTCAGGAATGTTTGTCAGAGATCTTATTACTGTTAAGAACTGCTCATCCATGGCTCTATCCGGATCGAACAGATGGAAAGCTTGAGACTGAGCTAAAGTGAGAACTTATGCATTTACGATTAGAAGTCATCTGTAGTTTCTTATGCTAAACAAGTCGATGCCGCATTCTCCCTAGACATCTATTTATTTCGATAGGTAAAACGTTCGACAAGACATCCGCGTTCAACTAATAGTGTTTACTGTCGATCTGCAGACAATGAAGTCACTTTATTGGGTCATGAATATCATTTTTGCTGAAGAAATCATCACTTTCCGCACAGATTAACGAAGCTGAGAAAATGGTCAATGGATTTAAGCACCAAAAACGTGGATTGTCATTTCATCCAGGTGAAGAACTACGTGCACCACTCAGAGGGTGCTGGACGATGTGCTATGAAATCTGCCTAGATTCGCAACGTCTAGTCGGAATGCTCGGCTCAGATCTTTTGAACCGATCTTAACTTCAGAATGGAGATGAATATACATCAGCAGCGAAGCAAGAATGTGCCGGTAGGCTGCTAAGAAGAACGGGTAACAGATGGAAAAAGACTTTGCAGTGAACTATAAGATGATGCAGGAATAAATGCAGACTACACTCGTGTGACGAGGAGATGTTTTCTGCGCACGTTGTACGTCTTCGTCTGCATTTGAATTTAC